GAAATGTACGTTACCTATATTCTTCCATTAAGAATATATATTAAGTAGAAAAAATGAGACGACTCTGAATAAGCAACCCCTAGTATCCTGTAAACTGGCAAAGACGTTTTGCTTAACACAATTAAAAATTATTTTTTACATGAAAAGTGATCATTTGAAATGTACGTTACTGAAATGTACGTTACCATGAAATTCGAATTAAGTGAATCTCGCACGAATTTTCATGTATTCTCATACTTTCACACACTCGAATGTGTACACAAAGGAAAGTTTCAAAGGTTGGAGGTCGGCTAAATCCCAAAATTAATGAAAAGAAACGTTTCTGCTGAGGAAAAAAATATATTAAGGTCAATTTTATATAATATAATTTTGATACCTGGTATATATTTCTGAATACGAAACCTGTATGATGCATTTCTTATGATATGCAAGTTCAAATAGTATCAATATATTGCGTGTCTAACCTATGCTTGTGGAAGAGAATTGATTTTTATATTTGAAATGTACGTTACGTATGGTAACGTACATTTTGCGTATTTCTAACTGACATTTTTTTTTAAATTTAGTCAATGAATTGCGTTTACACGAGCGGAACAAAATTATCGTTACAATCCATTTGACAACTGACCACATAAATCCATCTAAATGCACCCCCAATCCTCGTAAATGTGGTAGACTGTTACCACATGCTAGAAAATTTATTTCTAAGTGTCTTAAATTCAACTTTGGCAACCTTTTTGTCAATATCAATTTAATTGTTGTTGATAATTTAAAAAAAAGGTATGCATAGGCTTATAATAGGCTTATAATTGGTGAAAAAAAACAGAAAAAAAGAAAAAGAAACAAAACAAATAAACCCAGAACACAAGACGGTCACGTACATTTCAAATACTGAAAGGCACACAATACTCAGTTTTATTTGAATCAATGCATTTTGGGTTATATTTTTCCAGATCTGCTGAAAAGCACGTATGTTTGTGTTTTGACAAACGATGTTGCAACATACTAATTATAAATGAAATTGTAAACAAGACTGTTGATGAATATATTCGGAATAGATTTATGTTAAGTTTCAATTGCCAAACACGAGTATTTGTTAGATCATTACAAAATACGTCTGACTCTTATTTTTTTTGTCTGTACCCTTGCACACAGGTAGAAGTAACTAGGCTACGATCGGTGTCAATTTCAGCGAAACAGCACAAAAGAATGGTAACGAACTGAGGTGGAGGGGACTCCCCAGTAATATGTGAAATGAACGTTACCGAACTGACGTGACATTCATGTAGTTGATGACAAATAACCTCGTTTGTTACATTATGATTTCTTATATTACTGCGTTAAAACGCTTCATTGAAATGATTTTTATGTCAATAATTGCTTTTTTCAATATTTTCTTATTACTAATTTACATATTATTACAAGCTTGAAATGTACGTTACCTACTCATATTCTGAGGCAATCGTGTCTTTGTAGTGGTGATTAATATTACATATAACACAATGTGATTACATAGAGAATCTTTTTTGGAATAACTGAAACAAAACGATGAATTTTAGATGAATTTTAAGCTTTTTATTAAACAGAAATATATCTTGAAATGTACGTTATATTTACGTAGTTTTCTAAATCGGCATGGATATATGTTAAAAAAGACAGTAACTACAAAATAGAATTTTACTACATGTACATGTTAAGTTCCAGTATCTATAGAAAATGACAAGATTCCAAACTGATCGCTCTAAAGAAAACAGGGAGAAGAATTTAAAGCATATATTTAAAAAAATGTTTTCATATATCTGGATCAAAAAGTAACCTTTGTTTTTTGAAAGGAAAAATCAAACGCACGTTCGTATGCCGAGAAAATATGTTGCTGACAGAGTTGGTAGGATGTGCTGGTGTTAAGATAAGATATTCCAATTGTGATTTTAATGGCTGCGTTTTTTTTACATATCTTTTTGGACATTGAAGAAAGAGTAACGTACATTTCAAGCTACATTTCTGAATAAAATCACCCTCTACTTTACCGTCTTGTCATTATTTCATGTATTAAAATTTGATGAAAAAAAATCTGGAAACAAAATCTTCACATACTTTCTTTCAAAGGTAATTGATAGAAAAATTGTTATCTTGAACTTCATTTTTTAAAAAATCAGAGAGGCATTTGTGCCCTTATATTGAGAATGGGTGTTTAGTGTTACTTGGCCGTATACGATATAATATTTGTATAATGTGATAAATATACTTTCTTACGCTCGAAATTCCGCTCGAACATGCATTTCTAATTTTCATTGAAGCTATCAGATCCATTAAATAGATCAAACATTTCAAAGGAATAGCGTGAAGAACTACTTGTGACGTTTGGCACGAAATAATGTATCATGGCCAACTTCAGTAGTAGACACATGGCGACAATAGTGCAGAAATATATAACATTGACATGCCTGTATATGGTTTTGCATGGAATAAAAAGTTGAATACATATCGAATAAAGGAAAGAAAACAGTATCATCTGTTCATCACTAATAGATTATCTATCCTAAAAATTACTGTTAAAACTCAAGTAACAAATTCCGATGGGATCATCTTGAGCAAGTTTGGCGCGAAGATTTACTCGTGGGGTTTAACGCATTATTATGAATAATGACCGCCTTTCATTATTCTAAGACAGATGAATTGATTCAGAAGTAATATACAAGTAGATTTAGAGATGTGGTCCCAATAGCGTAACAGTAAGCGCTTTGTATTTCCATGCTGGCGACCCGGGTTCAATCTCCTTTGTTTCCATAAAAAGTTTTATCACTTTTTCAGCTCGATTTTGCGGGTTTTTTTCAGAATCGGACGGAAGACCTCTCGTTGCTTGCAACGAGTTTCTTTTCTAGTTATTATTATTATTATTCTTTTTTTTCTTCTTTGTTCTCCGGTACTTTTTTGTCCGCGAGTGTTCTCAGAAACTGTTCACCCAACTAAGCTAAAACCTTTTTAGGGTTAATAGGTGTGTAGTGTAGGTGTGCGGAACGAAGGTCATTTTGCGCGCATACGCATGCACGTGCGTGCGCGTGAAATGAGTGAAATGACCGATATACTTAATATCGCTATGACTTTTACATTTATTAATTAAATGATTTGAAACTCATTATATAAAGATATATTAATAGTGTAGATAATATGACACTGTCAAATTAGCACAAACTCACGAGCATGCACGTGCGCTTCGCTCTGATTGGCTGAAACAAAAATCTCAATATCTTTTCTGTTTTTTGACGAAATAATACGAAATTTAAAATATAGGCATACTTTAGGATGTTCTACAATATTATATATAAAAATTGTCATGAAAACACGCGCATGCACGTGCGCTGCAATCTGACTGGCTTAAACTTGAAATGGCTATAACTACCTTATTTGTCAACCAAACAGGATGGGATTTAGAACATAGACAGATATGATAGACTCCTACAAGAAGGTATGGTCATCATGCACGTACATGCACGTGCGCTTCGTTCTGATTGGCTGAAACAAAAATCTCAATATCTTTTCTGTTTTTTGACGAAATGCTATGAAATCTAAAATATATACATACTTTAGGATGTACTACAATATGATATATAACAATTGTCGTGAAAACACGCGCATGCACGTGTGCTGCAATCTTATTGGCTAAAACTGTTAATGGCTATAACTCCCTTGTTTTTCAACAAAACAGGATGGGATTTAGAACATAGACAGACATAATAACCCCCTACAAGAAGGTATAGTCCTCATGCACGTGCGTGCATGTGAAATGAGTAATATTAGAATACGCTTAAATGAGTGTATTTTCTAATACTTCTGGATTAATTGATTCGTTATTAAGTATATTTAAATACATGTATATATATAGTGTAGACAAGATGATGTGGTCATTACGCATATGCATTCAGATGAGCACGCGTGCAATGCTAAAATTTAAATACATTTTGTATTCTTCTGGGAAAACGTTGTTTAAGTCTAAATTGCATAAAGTGTGTCTTACTTAATAGCGCTTACAGGGAATACGGCACCAAAAGGGAGTTGGGGAGCGTTTGGGGAACATCTGTAACGGTCCCCGTTACAATTAGCCCTAGTTACAATTTGCGTTGATCTCGACGCAAAATGTAATAATCCAGGTTTATAACATTTGGCGTTGTAAAAGAGCACAAACTTGCCTATCTACCAAGATTATTTATTTCATACATTAGTATCAGATGTATTTTAATGTATAAAAGTCTCAGATATGCCAACTCGTGCTCTATGTCTCCTTAAGAGAAACGTATCTAAAATTTGATAAAATTTTGAGAAATTGTCTAATTTCTGCAACCGCTTGTGGCCTCCGTGTAAGCTCTGAATCAAATATAAGTTCTGGTTTTCAAACAAGCATCATTTAACGTTCAGAACTGCAAACTACCACAATTTAATATTGTACTGATTTTTACATCAAATAAGGCGCCAGATTCGACTGATACCATACATTGTCCTTTGTGTTTTCTTCCAGATTACATACAATAAAGTATTAGTTATCGCATAATATAATTTGAGCAAAATGTCTATTTTTTTGTAGTATTAGTTTTTGAAATATTTGCTTTGAATAGCAAAAAAATGACAATATCCCGTAGAATTCTATTGTGAATATACCCGTGTCACAGGTGGAGAAATACATAAACGGGAGATTTTTCATTAGCCTGGCATGTACTCTGAAGTTAATGTAAGGTACATATTGCATAAAATTGAAGAGTTTTCCTATTGTAGTTTTCACCAATAAAACCCAAACAGCTCCATTAAACATAACCTGCATTTTTTTTTTGGGGGGGGGGGGGGTCTGAAGATTTCTAAGTAAGACTCTGTGTACACAAATATAAACCTACAACAGAGTAGCTAAAGGCACTCTTTGCATTTCCACATATCATTCCTAGAATTTTTTTTCACCTTGGACTGAGGAAAAAACATATTTTGTGCAAAGGAATTTGATTGTTGCACATAGAATGATACGTTACACAGTCGGTTTGAGGACAACAGCAGAGGTATAAAGATTGTACATGAAAAATTGTACATGTGTATTTATAAGGTGAAACGTAGCCGAGTCACTGAACAGATACTTGTATCTATTAAACACCCAAAATGGCTCCATGTGCCATATTGGACTCCACACTAATTTTTGGAAATTTTTTAAATTTTTTCCCTGATACAAAATAATTGTATAAAGTGACATGTGGTTATGAGAGTTTTCGGAAATATATAAGAATCTATGAGTTTGATGATCCCTATTTGTTTCTGAACTCAGTCATCTAATTAATCAGTCATAGTGGTGCTAGACACTAATAACTGTGTGTAACTGATAGAAAACAAAACCTACTACCACAATAGAATGAGCATAGCTATTTCCGATATCAATATTTGATAGACCTTAAATTAAGCAGAAAAGGGGCGTCTCTTTCTTAAAATGGACAGATATGGATCTGACATTAATCAATCCCTTCCTTTTTTTTTCATTTGAATAAATTGATTTTGGACAAAAATTAGATTATCTCATCAAATAACAGAATTGCCATAAAAATTACTGAATAGTAAAAAAAGAAATACCCGAGCATTATAAAAGAAAAAAAAAACATCATTTGTATCCAAAGTTTATTTTTCTTAAACAAAATTGAAATGAAATATCTCAAAGTTGTTTCTCAAAATATTTCAAACTTCATTGCCTATCGACATTGAATATCTAATTTTTCCTTTTAACTGTCTATTTCCTTAGTTTGTCAGCCAGGATGGGTTCCTTTTGAGTACCATTGTTATTTCTTAAACAAGAAAAAAGATACCTGGGAGAACGCAAAAGTAAGTTGAAGTCATCGGGACACTCCCGGTTCCAAAACGAAAATGGAATAGATGGCATTCTAGATTTGACAATTTTTTAATCAAATTATTTCAAAAAAGGATTTTCGGAATTTAACGAAAGCTTTTGAGGGTTATTCCAAAAAAGTCGTAGACAGGGAAAACATTTTTGTTTCTCTTTTCTATGTTAAATTTCTTTCCTTGTCATAACAAAAAGTAACATTTTATGATCGTGCATTTCATGTTTTAAATAAGAAAATTATGAAAAATAAAAGAAAGCATGTAAGTGGACACCGGTGCACGAAAGCAAACGTAGATTACGTCCCTTATAACGTCATGATCTTTTTCCTGCTCCACACTCTTCTGTTAATATTCAATATTTTTTTTAAAGTGAAAGACCATCCTTCACTAAGGGACTCATTTATATTCACTACTGTCTTTTTTTTTGTTTTTTTTTTGGTATTTAGTTTTTTTTTTTAAACAGATTCAAATTTTAGTGGAACTTTAGTTTGAAAGATCGCCTTATAGTGCCATCAGATGTTCATAGACAAAAAACAGAATGCACTACCAGGGATTTTTGGAAGATATCAAATTATGAAAATATGTACATTATTCAAAGAAAAGTATACCAAAAAAATTACGTCACATATACTCCAGATTTTTTTTCCATCAAAATGTGTTTTAGAAAAGATGCACAAATCGATATATAGACATTAAAAGTATTCCACACAGGTCATTCGTTAAGTGGAACTCTTCATCTGGAGGAAAGAGACCAATAAAGTTCAAACTACGTTGCTTATGACCTTAAGCAATATTTTTGATTATACACATTCTAATGTACATGGTATAGTTTTTGCTTTCCTTTTCTGTTATTCTACCATATATTCCTGCATATTATTGATTTACCATATATATTATTTTAGAAACATTGTGAACAGAATGAGGCTTACCTACTGGAAATAGACACTGAAATAGAAAATACTTGGGCAATGGAGACCTTTCTTAATTCTCAGAAACATGGTGAGAATGTAAAGTTTTAAAGACTTGCATTTGATAAAATGTGTAGGTTTTTTTCCTTTGAAGAAATTGCAATTATTTTAACCGTATTTAATAGTGCAGTATCGAAATATTTTCGTTGAGTAATTTTCTCATGGCTAAAGAAGAATATATTGGGACATTGATGCTGTGGCTTAAGGATAATTCATTTGTTATGCATTTGTAAGAATATTGTCAGATAAAGTGCGCAAAATGTCTTACAAATCAGAATCAAATTTAATTTTTGAAATTATGGCAATTTTTTCTGTAGAAAAAAGTCTTCCACCATGATTTATTATTATTTTTTTTTGTTAAAAAAACAAAAAAGAAAAAAAAAGAGGTTCTTTGAATTTAAAGAGATAACAATTTTGAATATGCATATTTCTTCTTAGAAACTAACACATTAATCACTACACTGCATAGCCCAAAGCGTCTTTGGGTATTTCATTCTTCTTTGTGATATGAAACGTGAATTTATTGACTTCAAATTTTCCACGTAAGATTCAAATTTTGTGTTATAAAAGTGGGTTCTTAAGATTGAGTTAGTTCTTGTTCCATGATTTACCGGGTAATTAAGGTCAAGAGCTAGTAAATTAATTGATAATTCCTTTGATGCAAGATTAATCATGACGTCGTAATTGATTTAAACTCCTGGTCCCGTACTCTATGACTATACTTTTGAATAATTGATAACTCAATTTTGAACAAATGTCAAAAGTAATACCGAGACCGTTATTCAATTATATATATGATTTTAAGGATTCAACAACATTATGTAATTTATCCTTTTCTGTGAGACTGTAGATTTTATGCATTCATTACCGTTGTATAATAAGGTTAAAAATATCTCAATTTATAACTCGTTTTCTTAATGTTTCACTTTGAAAAATGGCATTTTGAAATGCAGTATGTCTTTTTAATTTACCATTCTGTCTGATACACCCTATTATATACCAATGTATAGAAAAAAAGCCTACCATTAAAGGAATTAAAATCTCAAGTCTAAGAAAATCTTTGGTACATGTATCTTTTATTTCGCAAATCGTTATTTTGTCTAATTTTTTTTTTTATTGCACATACCTTAATGATATAATTTTAAAAGTTGAGTAAGACATACCTATAAAAAATCGGGTTGTAGAATGGAAAAATTGTCATTTTTACCAACTATGTATTGTGCCTGCTTTATAGTAGACTTTAGAGATTGTTGCAAATTATGAAGATTTTACATAAGGTTAAACCTCATTTCAACTGAAATATCAAAGAAAACTGCGATTTAATTTGGATTTTATTTTTTGTTTTCTTATTTGACGAACATAAGGTATTTTTCTACTTCAGTTTTTGTCGCCCATATTCTTTCAAATTTCGTGAAAAATACGAAATCGTTGGTCTCTTCACGATAACAACGAAAATTAAACCCTCACAAAAAAATTATACGAGTGATTTCACAAAGTTACAGAATTTACATTTTCATTTTATTCAGGTGTCTGCAGTTACATGTGCGCATGTTCAAGGTGGATTGGGGCAACGGATATCGACAAAGAAGGAGATTTTACCTGGAACGGGAACACCAAAATAAATTATTCCAACTGGCATCCTGGTCAGCCCGAAAATGGCAGAAATGGCAACTGTGTCCAACTTTGTCAAAGTGGACACTGGGATGACACAAGCTGTGGATGGGACAAAGCATTCATTTGTGAAAAAGAGTGAGAAAAAGCAGCTATTTCTAAAGGAATTATTGTTCCATATGGGATATCATTACCTAATATTGTGCATTTGGAACAATCATCTACGCAAAAGCACAACTTTTACCGGATGATATCTTGAAAACAAAATATAAATTAATACCTTTGCATTCCTGTCAACGCAGCTTTAGCTAAATTTTTGAATGGTTCTAAGGGGTGTTGAAAAAGTTCGTTCCGGGATGAAATATTTTCAAAAATTTCAAAGTGGTGCTTAGCTAAAGAGATGAAATTTCAAGTATGACAAAATCAAAAGAGTATGCTTTAGATTTATAGCAAATCATTTCTAGCAGGAAAGTATAGGATTTTTCTTCCATATGAAAAAAAATATAAAGCATATTTAAAGCTAACGAATGATAGAAATGCTGGTTATTATGAGTGAAAATAAAGGATAATTTACTTTTGGTTCTTCATAGCAGCTTATCTTGCATCAGACTAGCTGATGAGTGTAGGTATAAGAACGATATATCACTTTTCAAAAGAATAGGTTTGTCATTTTGAAATATTTCACAGATTTGATAATTTTTGCATATAATTTGAAAGGGTGTGTTGACCTGCGTGCTTAATACATGTATATGTCACACATGTACATCATCCATTAATTTTCTAACAGACATCATCTGTTTTAATACCTGTTCTCCCCATTTTGATTCAACAAAAGACAGAAAAAACCTTATCAGTAGCAACAATGGACACCTCTGTAAACAACAAATATCACAAATTGTAAATATACTCAGAGTCAATAGAAACGCAACACCTTAATTTTATGGTAAAAACTATATACAGGTTATAACTATGTATCAAAAAAGTAAAGACATCTTTTACTTTGTCAAATCAGTTATTTAACGGTTGAATGAATTTTATTTCCGAAGAGTCATGTTAGGATTATGATATAAAGTCTTATCTAGATTTCAACGGAACTTTAAGAAATTAATGTCGAGATATGCGTATCACATACATGTATCAAATTTGAAGATTTCAACGCAAGATGTGACTTATTTATTTCATATCATGAATTCAATAGTTGGTGATATATATTTCACGCTCATTCAAGTTTTTAAAGATTTAAACATTTTCATAACTTTTGGAAATTACACCCATAACAATTTGTCACATACTTTTTGCTCCTTCAGTGATGTATTCTCAAGAGATGTACATGTAGCCATATATCTGATGTTATCCAGAAACTGGCAATCGTACATCTTTTTGCTTAATCGAAATTTTTTTCCTTTTGGTTAATAAATATCCTCATTCATAATATCACTGTCGATGTTATATTGTTAATATCTTCAACATTGGGTATAATGCTTTTGGGGAAAGCCTACAATAGCTGTATTTAATTTCTTAACATATTGCAAAATAGGTTCCAGTGGGATTTCATTCATTCATTTTATCGGAACAATTTCAGAAATATGAAACAATAGTAATTTCTACCTTACAATTCCTTTTAGCAAAATTTTCGTGGCATCCCCATCATTCGTATTTTTTCCTTAGCATATTCTTTTACTGTTTAGTAAAAATAATTCATTGTTGATGAAGAAGGTTTTGATCTCCCATGTTACCAGTGTCTTTATTCAATCAAGGAGGGATTATGTTTCTTAGCTTTTAATTAGCTTTTATCGGTTATTCGGAGATTTTTTTACTTGTCTTCTCCCAGGGCTCCCACTGGATCGAAAATATTTTTCGCCACTTTTCGCGACAAAAGGAAAGGCAAACTTACATGTATCTGATTTCTCGACAATGCAATCACTTTATGTTAGTCCTTTTTTCAATTATGTTTATCTGACACAGACATTGTTTTAAATTTGTAATGTTTAAAGCTTTAATTATGGTAGTATCCATTAAAAAAACATATGTTGGAATTATACAATAAATTTGAAATTGAATTGATATCAGTCAACTTGATCTTGACAGAAAATGTCTCTTGTTTATTTTTTTTTCCCTGTGAGGGAGGGGGGGGGAGCCCTAGTAAAAATATGACATTTTTTAAAAATTGAAATTTTCATCATCTCATTAATCAATTGTGAAAAGAAGTAATTAAAAAGTAATGAAAATTAGGTTCAAAAGTTGACTTTATTTTAACAACTTGGTGACTCCAGGGTTTAATATAATATGCAAGCTCATGTTATTGTAAATAATTCAGTGTAATTTATCAATTAAAGATAATTCTGTTTCCAAACCAATTTCTTTTTCACTCTTTGTCAGTTTATGGTTATTTAATATACACATTTTTCAATTTTAATTAGGTAAAATTTGAAGCAATTCTTCACCATTTTCGTCATGTTTCCCTACTTTCGGTTTAAAAAAAACGATCTAACATTACATAGATCCAGATTTTGTTGATAAAAATCTTTATTTCTAACTTCATATCCTAATAACACTTTATACCCCCTTGTTTAATCCAAATTATATTATTTCAAGCAATTTTGTAACCCTTTATTGCTCCAGGCCAGTTACCTAGTCAGCTGTGTTCGTTCAAGCGAGACGTGATTTCCTACATGTAGGTTTCAGTTTTCACACCTCTGCTGCATTAAATAAACATAGGGACTTATCTGTGTACATTGAATAAACAAAGGAGCTAACCAGGACTACTCAAATTTTGTACATCAAAAAAATTCATTTTCGCCACTTATGAATTTCTTTTCGCCACTTTTGAAAAAAATTCGCAATTGGCGACAATGGCGAATCACAGCTCGAGCCCTGTCTTCTCCCCCTTATTTTAGACACATTTTAAAATCGCAGTTCATCGAAGGCTGGTTATTGGGGTATATCATGTATATCATATCATCGGGGTATAACTATGGATTAAAATTAAAATGATGTGAAAAGGCTAAATACGTTTTAAATTAAGGTATATGAATATATAGCTGATAAGATCGGTAATTAAGATCTCTAGCTCGCTCTTCTCTCCAGGCACGTAGCATCGATTTTGAAAGCAGAGGGGGCAACCCCATTTTGTTTTTACTCACCAGAAAAAGTTTACAAGCAAAAAAAAAAAAAAGGAAAATTACCCAAAGTCGAAAATCCTATTTCGTGGGGTGTGTGTGTGGGGGGGGGGGGTGTAGAGGTTAACTTTTTTCACTACCAATATTCCTTTCAATATCCATTTTTTAAGCTTACAATACTATATTTCCTTCACATTTCTTCACTTAAATATAAAATGGGGGGGGGGGGGAAACCAACCTTTCACTGAGCATTTTCAATAGTAATAGTATTGTTGGCAAAAAAGTAGGGGGGCAGCTCCGTTAATTAACTCCGTTAATTAACTCCGTTAATGAGGAACATTCCGAAGGAAAACTTGCAGCCATTTGTAAATGCTCATGCAATTCCAACTCGAACAAGACCACCCCTCCCTGTTGCTACGTCCCTGCTCTCTCTCTCTCTCTCTCTCTCTCTCTCTCTCTCTCTCTCTCTCTCTCTCTCTCTCTCTCTCTCTCTCTCAAATATACATGTATATGGAATATACCTTTTAACAATAAGACTTATTAACATGAACTCAAATTTAAGCATTTGTAAATTGCTCAGAAAACAAATATGCAACATCTTTAATTTAGTCATGCATCGACATCGTTTAAGGCTGTTCCAGAGCTAGCAAAGTGCATGTCCGATGCCCGTTATATCAACATCAATTAAAATGCTTAAGCAAAACTATGAATTAATCTACCTACTAAATTGTAATAATATCATATACCTATTAAAAAATATCCACATCAAGCTTCAAATTTTTGTTACGCTTTGAGAAATTCAATTTTTTTTCTTGTTTACAAAATGCAGTCAACAAAAATTACTTCCGTGTCTACAATTCCGCGACTTTGACGTCGTTTTCTGAGCATTGTGACGTCAAAAGATAAGGGTCTTTTTCTCATGATGGCAGTCATATATTTAGGTAAAAAGATAATTTACAAAAATTAATGCTTCATTTCAACATTATATTAAATGTTATCTTTAGACCTTAGAAAGGAACAAATATCCGGTAACTCTTAAAACATCCCCCTTCCGACCATCTAATTAAAACGTGCTAGTCCGCCATGTACAAAAAATGCAGCTAGATTTCTTCCATGCATTAGGTTTATTAATGTCTGAATCTAAGCGAAATTAATATTCTTGGGCATTTTCAAATGCATGTTTTTTCAGATACTGCTGTCGAATTTTCTCTCACTTGGCGAAGTGTAGCAACTCTTGGACTTCCGGTCTAGAAACTGTCATTTATGCTGTTGAAACACATGAGCTTAATGAGTCGTTATATAGAGTACATTTGCATCTGCAGCTCTTGTTTTCTTTATTTTGAGAATTTCCAGCATTAAATCAGTCATTTTGAGGAAATATAGGCATCACATCCGGTAAAGAAAGAAGGATTTTTCCCCGGGATTTTAGTACAATACTTATGATTAACAGCTACAAAACCTTGAAAACCAAAAACATTGTTAAAAATGTTATTTAAAATGCAATTTTTTTACTCCTGTTAAGAGGGCTAAAAAGCAACTTCCTGTAACAGAAAGAAATTCATTCAACCGTTAAATAACTGATTTGGCAAAGTAAGAGATGTCCTTACTTTTTTGTACATAGTTAAAACCCGTATATAATTTTCACTCTAAAATTAGGGTGTTGCGTTTTTATTGACTGTGAGTATACCTTCTAATAGTAATTCTTTTTGAAAATAAAAGAAAAATGTAGAACGAACTTTCTTAACACCCTTTATATATATATATATATAAGATATTTATTATATTTTTTCTTTCTACCAAAAGAATAATTAAGTCACAAAATGTAATTTTCTTAAGAATATTTGGAAGAATGATTCACAATTGATATACTGTATAAGATGAAAAGAGTGTACACATTAATAGCATTAACGCTATTCCTTTCATTTAAGATTTTGTTAGGATATGAATGTAATACCTTGAATACAAGTGACTTACACTTCCAGTTGTTGCAAATAAATTTTGCTTTTAATTCCCAATTTAAGCCATTAAAATATATCTTTTAGAAGAAATAATAAAATTCCCCAAACCGTTTTCTTATAAAAGGTATTCGAGATTATCATGTATCAGTAATCCGGAATTATACAATGTATCAGTTTTGGGTTCTATGTTTTACATTAGTTAGTTAATAAAGATTGAAACCTCCATGTGGTTGTCTATGTGATGCGACTCCGACGACCTATATGACAGAGATAAAGATGATCAATTAATACGAGGACGTGATCTTTATCTTTCATACATTTTTTATGAGGTTATCAGTCTAATTAATTTGTAAGGAAATAAACATAAATATCGGTTATTCATTTTTTACGATGACAGATGACGAATTGGGACACAGAAGCTTCTTATTCACAAATCAAAGTCAAGCAGGAATTCGTCCGCAAAATTATCGAAAATGTTTCATGTTTCATTAGCACAAAGGTTCCAAGGAAATAAGAATGACTATGTGGATTTAAAAGCAGAAAATGCACAAACCTTTTACAGTCATAAATTGTCCTTGGGCTCTAAATAATTTGTTTTAAAATGCAAATTCAACCAAAACTGAAATTGTTTTACATGCATTAATTAATTATTAATATCGAAATACTTACTGTAAAATAATTTTTCTTGGGTGTTTAATTTCCGTAGTTTTCTAGGTTTGAAAGACCCTTGAGTTTATATCCACAACAAAATGTAATTTTTAACATACGTATATTACTACTGAACAATTCTTCAACCATGGAAACAAATCCCTACGAACCAATTTATTTTCCTTAAACCTCAAAATTTTGACCCCTCGAAGAAAAGATTTGATTTTACAGGATTAGCCTAGTCAGTAGATGTTAATATTAGAATAATGGGATGTTAAGACAAGTTTCCAAGCAATTTCAGCACTAAATTTGTTATATAGATATATAATAAGGGAAGTCATAAAGTTGATCATAAAGCTTCTCATTAGCTTGCCATCAATATCTTTTTTCTAATAAAAAACCAATTATAAAACAGATGTGTCAGAATGCGTGCTCTCTTTCACAAAGATTTCAGAGGTATTTATCCAATTATGTAGCAATGAAAGGGGAAATTGAATTGTTTAAGGAATGGTCTAATTCTTGGACAAATTATCGAGTATAATCTGGTCAGTTTACGCTTTATAATCTGCGAATCCTTTAATCTTAATTTTAAAAAATTTAAACAACTTTGGATAACAAATTGTGTTGCATTTTATGAGTTCAAATCAAACGCTCAGAAACACAACAGTAGTAAGGGAAGTGATACGAGGCGAAGGAATTCGAAGGTAATAACTGATATGCAGATCTAGCAGCCGGCCATGATGTTTGTTTACATGAGATAAGCTCGAGTAACAGTTTGAAGTTAAAGATACTTTTTTAAAATTTTGAATTTTCCATGGATTCCGAGGACTGGTGATGAGGGGATTGCACGAATAAGATGATTAAGCTGGTCTTCAAGGGGGTGTAATCCAATACTAAACAATATTATACAAAATAATTTACGTATCTTTTTGGAAATCAACCAATGAGAGGAGAGAATACAAACAAAATTAGATTATTGATTGATAAAAATATGGTTTAAATGCAACATATACATGTATCAAAGGAGGTTTGAAAAACAAGGCGGTTGATTTTATTAATGTAACCCATTTATGTAATTTTAAAAATGTAATTGCACAATTCTACCTATTGTATTTCAAATATACTGTTGGGAGACCACCTGGTCTTAAAAAAATACACATATATTTAGTAGTCATGAGTATCTTTTACATTAACTTCAAGCTATTGTGTGTATAATCAGAATATAAAACAGAAGTTGGCAGATGACTAATAATAAAGACAATCCGTGTGAATTTACAAGTTTCACATACATTAGAAATAAACAGGCTTAATGATGTCAAAATATCCAATGTTAGATTTATCGTTGGAAATATACTGCGTAAATTAATTTTAAGAAATTGATATTTGTTTTTGCATGAAATACTTTAACAACATACAGCTTAAAAAGTCAGGTCATATAAGTACATCTGTTCTACATCTTGTAATATGCACTGTAGACTCATTTCCGCTTAAAAAGTTTCATCTTAGTGACACTTTTAAACAGGAATGAAGTGTAGATTTACATTTTGAGAAGAACACTTGTTATATATTAAGTATTTTTCATCTAACACAGAAAGCAAAACACTTATGTTCTTGCCTTCCTCATTGCTTCTATTAATATCTTACTTTTTTCATTGGCTGGTTTTCTAATGTGGCTTCTTAAAGCAATTAATCTAGTTAAGAAAAGTTATGTCCTTTTCAAAGTTACTTTGTTTTTTGGATAGAAATAATGCATTGTAGACAGACAAATTACAAAGTCCCATAGCATTTTTATGGAAATATACCTTGATATACAGAGACAATATGGAGGTATGTGGTTATTCATAAAGTAGTAGTAACGAGTTCAAATTAAATAAAAGAAAGTTTTGCTTTGTAGTATTTGTTGTTAACGTATACATATGACTTGTTTGATTATTGTGTTATCTATTTTAGTAAATATATATGTAAATGACCTCTTCCATTCCTCTACTGAATGTCATGTCTTCTCTTTAATAAGGAGGTTACGTTATTGAAGTTTGCATGAAAAAGGTTTATGAAAATAAAACATTTATGGGTACTGATCTTAGATATTTTGTATTAAGATAGAACAGTTGTATGTGCTCTCTGCGCATGCGCACTTTTCTAGCGTAAGTCGCCATTTTTTATCAATTCACGGAGAAATTCCCTAAGAAATAAGTAGCCACCGCCCTCCCGACCTCCATCATTTTTTTTCGCCTTCTGTATAATCAATTTTCTACCAACTAAACCTTATTTGTATAAAAGGGAAGGGGGGGGGGGGGGGGCTAATTCGCCCCATCTTTTCAGTTATATTCATTATTTATGTATTTTTTGTATGCAAATAAATTTTTTTTTAATATTGCATACTTATTTCTGATCTATGCTAAGTGTGTTTTGCTTTGTATTATTTCTTGCTAACGTATACATATGACTTATTTGATTATTCTGTCATGTATTTTAGTAAATAATTGACCTCCTCTATTCCTCTACTGAATATTATGTCTTGTCTTTAATAAGGAGGTTACGTTATTCAGATACCCATTAAAAAGGTTTCATTCTGATTTCATTAAAAATGCATTTAATTGACGAACAAAATGTTTTTCTATGAAACGGAGACATTTGTCAAGAATTCAAATGTGAGATTTTCTTTATTCTGATTTGTTTTTATAACTTCTAATGGTAAATATGTATCAATGGTAGCTTTTTTTTCAAGAAATACAAAAAGTAAATAAAAAATAGAAGGCATACGTAAGTGAGTTCTATATACCAAATAATCTCGAAGTAAAGTACGAATGAGAATAAGTGTTAATCTTTAAGACATAGCATCCATTCTTGCTTCCAGAGGAAATCAATATAAAAAAATAGAAAGCTTTTAAGATTTAATGTTTTATGAGAAATGTATCCGAATGCATGAAACAGAGCATGCAGGAGATCATTATTAAATGCGTGCAATAACAATAGGATTGATATTAAAGGGTTAAATAAGTAATGTATAAATAGTCAATCGAAAACAATTATCATCATTATATTTTATTCATTTGCTAAAAAAATCGATTTGTGATGCAATTATGATTGATAAACCTGATTTATCTTTATACACAGCATATTACATTAAAACCTCTTCTGTCTTGAAGAAGACGACGACCATGTCTGAATGTAAACCAATCCACGAATGATGTCAAGATCATCTTGAGAAATTTAAGCCAAATACTAAGTATTTCCTTCTACTAGAAAAATGGTATAGGAAGGCTAGGATTACAGTGTATTTAATGAACTATTATCATGTAATAACCATGGCAAGTCCAATGGAATGTAGAGCATTTTTTGAAATAAACTTTTATTTAGATATTACACACTTCGATTATGAATCAATGTCTTCAACAATCTTTTTCATTTTTTTGTTTTTTTAATACAGTTAAGTGTCTAACTTTCCCCCCAGAATGAGATTTGCCTTTAAGTGCAATATGTGTGAAATGCTTAACTGAAAAGAAAATCATGTATATCAGACGTAAAATATGAGAGACCATGTTAAATGACATGTTCTTTAAATGTATATGTTAAAGATCCCGTGAACAGATTTCTTTTCAACTGAAAATTATATCTACCATTTATATTTTGTAGAGAAATCAACGATAGATGTCAACTTCAACAGACATCAGCCCGATCAGGGATAAAATTATTGCTTCTAAATACAAAAATGTTCAATATTTCGTCTTCATTATTGTAATTATTTTGTGAAATAAAATATTTTTAAGATTGCGTTTTCTGTTATTCGTTTGTTTTCAAAACCCAGAAAAGGTAAACAAATGTAAATTTGCTATTTTATTCTTAAGTTCGAATATTTATCGCATCTGGTTAAAATTTGTCAAGCTCTGGAATAAATTGAGTATTTTAAATTGCAAACAAAAGATTTCAATTCAACGTCACTTCATGTGAATTTTTCGTTATAATAGGTGAAGTTTTGCATTCATTTCAAAAAAATATTTCTAAATACAACGCTAACATTACATGCATCTCTTGAAAAAAATGTGAAGAAAGGGTCTTTTAAATATGAAGGGTTTTAAAATACTTTATCATCGTTTTGTTGCAGCGTGTAATCCTGGTAGTTATGGAAAGGATTGCAAAGAGGTCTGCGGACATTGTGAAGGCAATGAACCGTGTAATCACATCAATGGATCGTGTCCAGGATCATGTGAACCGGGATATGCGGGAGAAATGTGTTTAACAAGTAAGATGTTCCTTGACTCTATGTATTTTATGAAATAAATGTGAATTTATAAAGGCATTTAATTTTGCACCACTATCATCTAAATGTTCCTTCCCAATCTTGTGAAAGACTGAAGTTATGCATTTACAATGTTTGCATATGTAGAGCGTGTGTCCAATCTTTGTGATTAGAAAAATATTGGTTCGTGAAAGCAGAAGAGTTAATAGTATTCTATAAATGAAAAACAGAATTTACATGATGTTATTCTATTTCTAATGTCAATGTAATTTTGACGTACACAGAATGCGGAAGCGGGCGCTATGGAAGAAATTGTAGCTCTGCTTGTGGACATTGTGCGAATAATGCAACTTGTGATCCAATAACTGGCGCCTGTCCTGAATGTGCACCAGGATGGACTGATTCGGGAGACAACAAATGCGACAGAGGTTTGATTTTTTTCTCATATCTTTTGACTTTTGTTAATAATCGGTAAAATGTGTATAGAAAAGATATTTCGGGAACAATTTTGGAAGGCGGAGAGACAATCATTTCAAATTTGTAATCTACATTTAATGATAATGCGTACATCTTTTAAAATATAATTATGCATATTCAGATATGAATATTATATTTATTCAGTCAATTCAACATAAAAACTACATACACCTGAAAAAATATACCTCCTAATAAAACCAAATATAAATCAAATGCAAAATAATGACAAATAAATTTTATCCTAATATATAGAGAACGGCATCTTTACCACTTTCCATCTTCGTTGATGATATATGCTTTTACTTTTCAATACTGTATTGTTTTTAATTGAATGCGTTTACATGTAATGATACAAAAATTGCATTTACAGTGTTAAATGAAGCAAACTTGGAAAAATAAGATAATATCAAAGAAAATGTAAAGCTTTACCTCCGTTCCAAGGAAACAATAATTTATACCATTTTCAATTATAATTTCAATGCCAGTAAGAAATCAAGAAATTATATTTTAAACATAGAGGATACCATATTTCTATATCTTAAAATTTCACTTTAAAGATTTTGTTAGTGTTTATTGCGTAAGTTCCTCTCGAGAATTTTTTCACTCATATGGAGACGTCACCACTTGCCAATTGGGAGCTGCAAATTCTGTCCTATACTCGGCCTTCGTGACCATTAATCAGCGTAGTGTCTTTATTCTGCCAACACCTACCGAGAGACGAGGCCTCAGATTATATGATACGATTCAAAGGACCGGTCTCCACGTCCCAAAGTCACATTCGAACCCACAACATAGAGATCAACTCCTTAATCTCAGACTCTAGAACATAAAGGCGCTATAACGACCGAGCTACGCGAGCGATAACTTGAAGATTTGAAAAGAATAGCATAAATCAATTTTAATGTCCAATAAAGTTTCATATAATATATATCATTACATAGTATATTTATGGTTCCAATATAATTTATACAAGGGCAAACATTTTTTAACACTATTTATTATATAGTTTATTTATATTCCCTATATAATCTATACAAGCGCAAACAGTTCATAATACTACATATTCACTGGATTTGAGGCCGTATTCACCGGAGGGTCATTGCGCGTGCAGCTGCATTATGACGTCACAATCAATACCTCAAACAGCGTTGTAAACAATGGTTGCAACGGCCGCAGCGAGCTACGTATCTGAGCAGGAAAATATTATACAAACCTATTTCAGGATTATTTCTAAACATTTGGACGTCTTACACATAGCGAAACTCGGAGATGACAAACTGTAATCTGGGCATTTTTTAATTTCTCAACAACAGTTCGTAAATGAAAATGGTGTCGTCATTCAGCCTTCAATGTCTTATTTATTCAAATTTCGACTATATAATAATACAATTATGGACTCTTTTGGTGTTGAATATGATTTGTTATTCACCAGAAAAATATCCATATTGACCTTGGCTTCGCCTCGGTCAATATGAATATTTTTCTGGTGAATAACAAATCATATTCAACATCAAAAGAGTCCATAATTGTACAATAATCACCGGATTTGAGGCCGTATTCACCGGAGGGTCAGTGCACGTGCAGCGGCATTGTGACGTCAAAATCAACATCTTAAACATCGTCGTAAACAACGGTTGCAACGGTCGCAGCCAGCTATGCATCTGAGCAGGAAAAATGATTGAAATCTATTGCAGGATTTAAAAAAAAACCATTTTGATGTTACACATAGCGATAATTGTTACTTTTTTATTTTCAATGGCGTAAGTTCGTAAAAGTATCTTTATGCAGTCTTCAGTGTCTTATTTATTCAAACCCGTACTATATAATAAAACAATTATGGACTCTTTTTTGTGTTGAATATGGCTTCGCTTGGGTCAATACTGACATTTTTCTGGTGAATAAAAAACCATATGCAACACAAAAAGAGTCCATAATTGTATAGTATGCATTTGACGATATTTTTTTCATGATTTGCTTAAGGGAGTAGGCTATATAGCATTTCAAATCTATGATATTAAACAACTGTTTTTTTCTTATTTCAATTATATTTCAGCCTGCAATGACGGTTGGTTCGGTAAAAAATGTAAACAACGTTGTGGTTACTGTAGAGACGATGAACCGTGCCATCACGTGACCGGATCCTGTTTAGGGTTCTGTGAACCTGGATATCTTGGGGATAAATGTGACGAAAGCGAGTTTTCTCAACTTCTTGCAATACAGAGGAAAATGCTCAACTCCGTAAGAGAACTGCTTTCTTTCAAACGACGAAAAGTTGGACTGATTGCTAACATCACGTCCCCCACTGACCTCAAATAAGAGAAATGTTCTCTGAAAGACTCAAAGAATGATGTGTTTACATTGCATTGATTTGCAAACAATGTTATCATTTGTAAACTTAAATGTAATCCATTTGCTGAGGACAAGCAGCACTGTTTCATAAGTGAAGATATTACAATAAGTTTTTTTTTTATTCACAATGTTTCTTGTTTTTTCTTTATTTTATGCTTATTATCTTTTATTTTGTATCCGCAACAAGGTTTCATATTTTTTTTCACTGACATTCACTGACACTAACATTGAATTTATATCATATACCCATATGTTTAATTAGCATGAAATAATAATAATAAAATCTCTTTTATTTTAATGACAATACGTGTTCTTTTCATTTTTGTCTTGGCTTGAGCTCTTGAAATGGGCCAGTTATGTAATTATTTGCTTGTTAGTTTATATTGCTAAAACCACATTTTTTTGCATGTAAGTAGAATTGAAAAAAAAAATACTCGGAATTGCCGAAAAGGCTGACATTTATTTCAAAATTGTAAATCAGTAAATTCTGTCTTTCTTTCATTCTCAGGATCATTGTCTCGCTGTTGTTTTTCTATTTTGAAGCATTATAGAAACACTTCAAAATTTCTTCAGAATGATACAGAAACATTACTTTTTTTTCAAAAAATTCTATTTCATAGTCTATTGATTTCCTTTAAACAACTGTGTAAAGTTTTAGAGTCTCCTTTGCTTTTATGAAAGAATGATATTAAATCTTTTAAATTTTGAGGAAATTTTATTATTTTAATAATTTGGATTATTTATTTCCTTTCATTTCGTTCGGTTGTTTCTGGACAAAAACTTGAAGCATACCTGGCGACAAATTGAACAAAAGATTATAAAATAGGATATGACACTCACAGGATAAAACTACACCATCCCATCAAGTGAATGGCAACTGAAAGTTCGGGAAAGATCACTAATAAACATAACTCCGTCATGCAGACCTCTTCCAGTTAACAGAGTTCCACCCTATTTTGTTGAGTATAGAAGGTTTTCAATGTTACTAGCGATATACGAAGTTATTGAACAGTAAATCTAGACATCAATATTATTTGTTAAATTTATTCATTAATTAGTCATGTATGAAAAAATATTAAGATCAAGAAAAAGAGAATACACTTATTAAGGTCTTCCGTCTTCACGGAAGACCTTCTAGTGATTCTACTGTTTCTTATAATTATTATTTTTCCCCCACAATTTTGTGCAGGCGATTTCTCGAAAACTATCCAGTGGTTTTCAGTGAAATTTTCAGGAATTATGCGTCATTATATGAAGTTGTGGCATGAGAAGGAAAATTTGGAATACTCACCTTTGGTTCCAAGATATTGACAGTTTTCTGATTTTAAAATGGATTTTTGTTCCCCCTTTTCTTCAAAAATGGCTTAAGATATTAACTGGAGACTTGTTAGAGATGATAGATGATGACTTCTAGATTTGTGGAATCACCTTTTCGTGCGTCGTTATTACTTCCGGTTGCTATTGGAAGCGAAATTAAAAAGTCCGTATTTTCTAACTTTTTTGTTTTTCAATATTTTTATCTATTTTTGGAATGTTAATAGAAACCTTTCTTTTAATGCTTACTATATAATTTGTTTGAATATATTGATAAATCCAAACTCTAGATATTAACATTACAAATCTGAAGCGGGTCCAAAATGGCGGCTGTCTCTGTCAACTCCGACATTGCGCAAGTGAGGGTTTACGGAGGCAGCCGAGCGTTTGTTTAAACAGAAGTAACCTAAGAATAAATGAAATGTAAAAGAATACTTGGATTGTCACGTCGTAGTTAAGTTGCAATTCTGCAAACTAAGTTTTAATCCATATTCGTCTCAAACATCTTCTGTAATTAGCTTTGGCTGGTTCTCAGAGAAGAAAAAGAAACGACTAAATGTGATAATGAAATACGATACTTAATATATTTTGCTTTTTGCGGATAATCATATTTTAAATCATAGTTATAAGTAATAGTTTTTAAGAAACAATATTGATGTATATAGTAAGTATTAAACGCAAAACCACTGTTTTCCCATGCACACTTGTGTCATATTAAACAGATAAAAAAGACAAATGTAAGAAAACTTTTTTTTTTAATATTCTTGTCTCAAAGATCTGATCAAGCTATTGAACATAAATGTAATCTAATTCCTTGACTTGCGTAGGGCGACACATGTTTTTCGGCGAAACATTTCAACCTTTTAATGAAAGTTTAAGTAATCGGGATCGTTCACTATGGGAATAAACAGGAAATTTTGAAAAAGTTAAAAATTATAGCATTTTTGCTGATCTAGTGTTACTTACATGTATCTACGTGGAATGTGTTAAATATTCTCTCTTGACCTTGAAATTGTAGCTATAAGAACGTTCTTTTTTTAATTTCCATTGAAGCTATCACACCTATTTTATGGAACATTCCAAGGATAAGGCTCTAAGATTTACTCGTGGCGTTTGATGCAAAATTATGAATAGTGTCCCATCTTTCATTATTGTAGAACAGATGTACTGTTGCAGAAGTATATACAAGTACATTTAGACCTGTGGTCCCAATAGCGTAATAGTAAGCTATTTGAATTTTCACGCTAGCGACTCGGGTTCAATCCCCTTTGTTTTCATTAAAAGTTTTATCAATTTTTTCAGCTCGATTTTGTGGTGTTTTTTTTTTCAGAATCGAACGGAAGACCTCTCGTTGCTCGCAACGAGTTTCGTTTCTAGTTTCCAATTTATTCTTTTAAACTTTTCCTTTTTGATAAATATTTAACTTATATCTTGTAAAGTGAAGTTTTTTGCCATCGTTGCTAACTAGAAACCAGGAAATAATAAATAAAGTCATTGAAATTGGATTTGTAAAAACAAATTGGATCAGACAAAACTGATTTTATCTTTTTTCTAGAGCATCTCACACAGGAAATATGTATCTTATCAGCGTTGTTCAGATTAGTTTAACATGTATCTTTTAACAGCAATTTACTTTTTGCAGGCTCCTTTGTTTGCAAAAGGAAATTGACAATTAAACGTCACTCCATAATATTTTTTTTGTTTTGAAATCTAAAATGTTTGGTTCTATCTGCTCACAAATAAATATGCTGAAATTACTTTTCATTGTTATATTTGGTTATGATGTTAAACAAGATGGACTCTTATTACTATTTTCAAATGCTGTTGAGTATATGGATAATGATTCTCTCAATGGTGAATTCTTATGGTAAGTGAATTGCTCTTATAGATTCTTATAATTCTCTTATAAATTTGATATTCAGCTGAATTTCTTTGTTATGTAAAAAAATAAATTTCTCATAATTAAATAAAATAAAAAGCATACAATTGTAGAAAAGGAGGAGTAAAAAGCAAAAACAACTTGAAAACAGTTTGATCCTATAATTATCCAGGAGGGTCACAAATCCCACTTTAGATAAATAGCCACATCATTTTAAGATAAGAGTAATTAAATTACAAAGACAGAAAATTTTTATTTGTCTACTTTTTGGAAAAAAAAATGTTGAGGTAAAGATGATAAAAGACACAAGCTTTAAGTTTTTGAAAAGGGCGATCAGTAGTGATTATTTTCATTATACGGACATGAAAATTTTACAGTTAGTATCTTTATACATTGTAAATAATGTATCACTCGTCGAACAAAGAAAAACAAAAACACGGAATCATGAATTTCATAATTATTTGGTTATCATGCACGTATTACACAGAAAAAAATTAACGCAAAGTGTTTCTCAGAAATTATTATCATCATATGGATACTTCATGATTGTGTTTTTAAAATAAACGATAGGCTTTTGGATTATTTAAAATTAAAAGTTCTGAGGGTTTATGTCTGCCGGCGTATTATATATATAAGAGCATGCTTTGCCTTTCAAAAAATTGGAGAACGAGTCAAGCTATCAAGAAACAAGTTGAAGAAGAAGAATATGTCGCTTTGAAACATTATTTTACAGTTTTCTAGATCATGACTAGGAGCAATCCGTGGGTGTGACTGTTGGACATGGAATGCTTACTCCTCTACTGCGCATGATCCCAACTCCTATGTTTTAGAGATCATAAACTGAGCATAGACTTAAGTCAAAATTTCATATCAATATAACTTTTTTAAAAAAAAATTGATAACAAGCAAAATTTTTACCATCAGTTTAAATTTTTTGGTAACATGACAAGCTTTTCAAAATCAAATTTTTTACTTAAGTCTGTTCTCAATTTATGGTCTCCAGGTCTTAATTTGTATTGTAATCGAATTTTGTGCATAATTACTGTTTCATCCATGGAAATTTAAGGAACTTAAATGTTTTGCAAGTTTTTGAAATTATTTGGGAAATGAAACTTCTTTTAACAAAATAAGAACAATTAGATGCATTTCTGTCAACAAATTCAAAGTTTTGTAGGTCAATAGCGTGTGGGATATTTACATGACTTTGCATATCAATTAAATAATTCTTAGTATACAAAGAAGACTAAATTCTTGTCTATCAGCATGTCATGTGTTGTTTTCTATGTCTTGTTTCTTGTCTATTTTAGAGCAGAAAATATTAATAATAAACTAGCTTGAAAGTTGAATACATGTATTTAAAATAACGTCGAGGACTTTTCACTTAAAGTTTCAATTCTAAAAATGTTTAAGGATTTGAAACATATAAAGTGGATTTTTTGGTTATTTTTCGAGATTTTCTGCAAAAAACTGTATTCAACTCAAATTAAAAAAAAATCGAAGCAGGAGCAGGTTAAACACATCTCTTTCAAATAACAGGCGGAAGCAGGTACCATTGAGAAAAAAGATCTTCCATGTTGACGAGTTAGAGAATGTCACTATGTGCATTTTAACCACTGTGATTAATGAACAACATTTTAGCATTTCATGATTATGATATATGGCTTTCTTGCATTCAAATATGTAATATTTACATTCGCTGTGTTTTTCTAGTAAGCCTATTGTAAAATTGATTTGAAAACCATTTTCGTGTATACTCACGCGTAAAAATATAAAAGAAGAAACGTGTGTTAACGTGACGTCACAATGAGGCTGCAACGACGTTAGTAAAAATGCAACGATATAGAGCAGCGAGAAATTCAAATACTGAGTATATTTTTTGTGTTTCCAAACAAGTACAATGTAAATATAAGGAATGTTTTTAAGATTAGTGTGACTTATTGGTGTGTGAATAACACAGGCTTGCACGTAGGCATATTTTTCATGAAGCGCTAGCGCACTTCATGAAATATGCCTACGTGACAAGTCTGTGTGATTCACACACTAATAACTCACACAAAACTTAAAAACATTCCTTAAATAAAAATACACTGTTTCGTTTTTTATTT